CTGTGGATGACAAAAATCAAAAACATGACTGTAAAATTCATGGAAGAAAAAGTCATCAATTCTAAATCAATTTTTAATAGTTAAAAGGAAAATATAAATTAAGACACCAAAAATGCAGGAGATGCAGGACAGCAAGTAAGCAGGGGCTTTGCCTGAATTCCTTCTAAAATTGTAATTTATTAGGCTAATATTGAACATCCCTTAAATACTTAAACCATAAGAATCATATCAGATTTCCCTGATTGTACTGTTGAACACCCATTTGTGTAAATATTTCAGCAAACAACACTGAGAATGTGGAGAAAATGGTGCTTGGCAAATTTATCCACAAACAAGAAAGAAAAGTCATACAAATTTAGTATTAAAACGTAAGACTACAAGCCAACATAATATAACAAAGAAGACAATTTATAGAACAAAACTACATGGTGCAAATTCAGATATTGCCCCGAATATAAATTTTATCCAAGAGAAGAAAACCTGGCACTATGAAAGGCCTTAACAAACACAAAACTGACGCACTCCTGTCATTGTGAAAACGGCTCTAAAGCTCTCTAGCTCATGTTTTATTTTTTTTTCCCTTGGCTCTATGAGCTTTTTAACTGGCTCTGTTTTAAATTACATCCAACAATTCCTCTTTTCTTTTCAGAAGCAGGGTCTGGTACTTGGACATACCTTTACCTTTGGCAAGCAGGTAGGTGAAAAGGAAGGCAAGGAAGCAAGTGGAGCCACCAATGTATATTACAACCAGGAAAATACTATTAATGTTCTCAATTTTACTGACTGCAAGTTAGGAAATCCAAAAATTATTACAGAAAATAAAATTGTGAAAGTCTTTCCTTCCAGAAATATACTTTACATACAAAAGAAGATCTCTAGTGAAGAGTATGCAAAACACCATTTTTATCTCCCTGGTATTTCATCTCCTTTTAAAATTCCCCGTATTACTTTATTACCATATTCCTGAATGCTGAATCCTCCACCCTGCAATAACCCTGCTCCGAAAAGCTGTATCTATATGTACAATATTATTCATTAAGAACTACGTAAAGTGGAAAAACAAAAGCCTTGCAAGTCTTCATAGCCATGGCAAGGCTCCTATATAAGGATAAATTAAAATCTTAATCCTAGATAACTAACGGCATCCAAATGATAATTAAATAATTATTCTAATGTCGTATTTCATTTGCAATGGTTACATTTAGTATCAAATAAAACCATACTGATTTATGAATTCTTTTAATCATTTAGTTACATAAAGAATGAGATTATTCTTTGTTAGTAGTTATTTTAAATCACCTGGGAATAATAAAATCTTTGTATTGTTGAGAATATTTAATGTCTCAACTGTACTTTTAAGCCTGTCATTACCTGTGACCAGTTAGTAACCAATTTATTTTCTGTTCAAGAGACTACTGTTATTTGCTAATTTTCAAGTGTTTTAAAATACACACTTAAAATAATACGTTTTAAATTATTCTTTTTTTAATATTAGGTTGCTTGCTCAGTAACTCTTTGATTAAAAGATCATTGTTTTATTCTTCTGCTCTAAAAACTGAATTATACCTTGTAAGAAATTTCTTCTGCCATTTTGGTTTTCTTTAAGTCGTCATACTTCGTTTTCATTTCGTTGTAGGACAATTCAGCATTAGAGATATCTTCCTTTTGCCTTTCTATTTGTTCTTCAAGCTTAGAGATGTTTTCGCAGATAGTTTCGACTTCTGACTCATACTCCTTCTTTTTTCTTGAACTGTTGAAATAAAACAGCCAATCTTCTATTTCATTTTGTAAAGTATATTAATTCAAATAAAAGTAAATCCCAGTATTGAATAAGTAAAGCTAAAACATTTTAAAATCAAAAGCAGTATCTTATCATCCTGCTATTTGATGCTGAATACACCAGGCTCTTCCTCAAAACTTTAAAGTCTTTCTCTTCACTAGTATAAACCCTGATAGTTTATTGATATAAAAAAATTATATGTATCCACTTTATGTTTTCCTATATATCTGTACTGTTAACCTGTATCATAGAATCACAGAATGGCTGAGATTGGAAAGAACTTCTGGAGATCATTTGGTCCAACTATCCTGCTCAAGCAAGGCCACCTAGAGACATTCGCCCAGGACCATGTCCAGATGGCTTTTGAATTATCTCCAAGGGTAGAGAATCCACAACCTGCATCTGCAACCTGTGCCCATGCTCAGCCACCCTCACAGTGAAAAACTGTTTCCTGATGTTCGGAGGGACTCTCCTGTGTTTTGGTTTTTGCCCACAGCCTCTGGTTCTGTCAATAGGCACCATTGAAAAGAACCCGTCTCCATCCTCTTTGCACCTTCCCTTCATGTATTTATAAACATTGCTGAGATTCTCTCCTGAGCCTTCTCTTCTCCAGGCTGAACAATCTCAGTTCTCCCAGCATTTCCTCAAAGGACAGATGCTGTAGTCCCTTCATCATCTTCATGGTCTTTTTTTTGACTCTCTCCAGTATCTCCACACCGCTCTTCTACTGGTGAGTCCAGAACTGGCCACAGCACTCCAGGTGTGTCTTCATCAATGGTGAGTAGAGAGGGAGGATCACCTTCCTGAACCTGCTGGCAACACTCGTCCTAATGCATCCCAGGATGCCATTAGCACCCTTTGCAGAAAAGGCACATTGCTGGCTCATGTTTAACTTGTGTCCACAAGGACCTCCAGGGTCTTTTCTGCCAAGCTGTTTTCCAGTTTTGTGGCCCCCAGCATGTACTGGTGCCATCAACCTCATCATATCAGCCTCATAACCTTGATATCAACCTCATCAAGCATGATGGCCCTTTGGTGAATCCATGCTGATTACTCCTGATTAATTTCTTGTCCCTGTGAAATATGCCTGGATAAGGTCTTCCAGGATTAGCTGCTCTATCACCTTCCTAGAGACTGAGGTGACACTGACTAGCTTGTAGTTCCCTGCATCCTCCTTCTTGTCTTTCTTGAGCACAGGAGTGACATTTGCTTTCCTCCAGTCCTCAGATACTTCTCCCAGTCACTCAAAAATTGTTGAGAGTGGCCTCACAACGAAAACAGCAAGCACCCTCAGTAGTCATGGGTGCATTCCATCAGGACCCATGGGTTTATATAAGTCCAGTTTGCTTAAGTATTCCTTGACCTGATCCTCTTCCACCAAGGGTACATCTCCTTTACTCCAGTCTTTCCCCCTGGTCTCTGGGACCTTGGATTCCTGAAGGCTGGCTCTTGCTAGTAAAGACTGAAGCAAAGAAGGCATTCAGTACTTCAGCCTTTTCCATATCCTGTGTCATCAGGTTCCCTGCCACATTCAGAAATAGGCCCACATATTACATAGTCTTCCTTTTGTGATCTGTACACTTACAGAAGCCCTTCTTGGTGCCTTTGATATCTCTTGCCAGATTCAATTCCCTTTGGGCTTTGGCTTTCTTCACTGCATCTCTGCATGCTCAGACAATGTCTCTGTATTCCTCCCAGGTTACTTGTTCCTGTTTCCACCTTTCTGTATGCTTCCTTTTCCTGTCAGAGTTTTTCCAGGAGCTCTTTGGTCATCCATGCAAGCCTCCTGGCATTTCTGCCTGACTTCTTACTCATTGGAATGAACTGCTCCTGAGCTTAGAGGGGGTGACCTTGGAATATTGAACAGCTTTCTTGTTCTCAAATACAATGTAAAACTATCCATTTTGGATAAAAAGAAAGTAGCAAGAACAGTCCTTTTATTTGAAAATTTTAAAATTGGTGAAAGAGTTTCAGTTCATCTATCTTATAATAAGTGGCCATGTCTAGGGTACTTCATGCCAGCACAGTGGTACAGAGTAGTCATACAGCTGATGAATTCAAATTCCTAAGTATGTTGCTATTTGCAGAATTCTTAGGTCACATAAAACAATTTTAGTTTATTTGCATACAAACAAACTTTCGGTTAAAGTGAACTGTTCAGCAGAAGTGAACTTAAACTACCATTCAATAAGACTGCTGGATTACACAGCAAAACCCAAACTGAATCAAATGCAAATACCCTACAGATATATACTGATACTGCTTTGCTTTGAGTGACAGAATACAACCTCTGTATGAGTATCTGCTGAATTAGAATGATAAACCTAAACGGTATTGTAGGGATCTCCACAGGATATACATTGTTTCCCATACTTAATCTACAAACCCACAACAGGCCAGCACTGGCCACACATTTCCTTAGCTGAATTAGTGGCCAGAATATTTCTTTCAAAGATCAGCTTCTTGAATACAGGGTGTCATTTGCTTAGTTAAAGGAAGGAAACACAGTTTATCTTACAAAACCCAAAGGTTTCTAACCGCACAAGGACTAAACTTCATGGATTTCATACACATGCACACACACACTCACTGCTCATTCCATTTGCAGTGCACGTGAACTGGCTGCTGAACATACAGCCTTACTCAGCACCACCTCAGATATAGTCCTTGAAAAATCTGTAAGACGGTGCAAACCCACAGCAACTGAATTTCCCTTCCCAAAATTCAAGTAACACAGAAGCACAAGGCAAAAGAACAGTAAACATTGCCTATATGCATGTTAATGACCTCTAGCTAACATATACCACGTGTGTAGTATGTATTACAATTGCCCTTTCTCTATTGAGAGACTGTCCATGGCTGGACTAACCTTACTGTGATTCCCAAGCAGTGAACCAATCTGATGGAGACGAGAACTGATTCCCAACATGACTGCAACTGCAACGTGATCTTTCCAAAATGCAATATATTACCTACAGGATTCAGCAATGTCACACAGCTGTAAGACCCTGGTTTAGAGCCATGACTGACTGGTTTACATAAATTGACAAGACGAGCATTTTTCAAAGATATTGCAGAATAGCTCTAGGAATGAACTGAGCTCTAGATGAAACATGAGGGACTGGCATGGTTTAGTCCCAGGATTTTGGGGCAGTTTAGACTGATTTGATTATTTAAAAGTTGCAGGACTGCAGCTGCTGCACAGGGTAGGGATTTTCCCTGCACCAGCCAGGAATCGAACCTGGGTCGCAAGAATGGGAATCTTGCATGATACCACTACACCACTGGTGCTTCCCTTATCACCTCCAAAGAATCAAATCAGTGTAGGCTGCTCCAGGGTGCAAAGTGCTGCATAGTCAGTTATTGATTTAGATAGTCCTGAAATACAATGCATTCCTAGCTCCTTTTCCAGCTGTTGAGACAAAAGAATCTTGCATAGATTTAGAAGATCTTGTTCCTTGCGAATTAAAACAGTAGAGATTAACAAGGTCTGCTACGAGCATGTAAGGAAAAACATAGCCAAGAGTACACATAGGAATGGCCCAAATCTTCTCTAGGTGATAATGTTGAAAGATGATAACAAAAAAGAGTAACAGAGAGCTTTTGCCTAAAGGGAGGCAATATGAAAGCAAATATATTCTGGCACTTCTAAATTTAAGACCATTTAGTTAGGACCCAGCTCATTAGACAGTAATAATAGTTCCATCTTAACATGAGGGGGAACTTCTTTCCCTTGAGGGTGGCAGAGCACTGGAACAGGCTGCCCAGGGAGGTGGTAGAGTCTCTGGAGACATTCAAAACCCGCCGGGACGAGCTGATCTGTAACCTGCTCTAGGTGGACCTGCTTTGGCAGGGAGGTTGGAATAGATGATCTGCAGAGGTCCCTTTCCAACCCCATATCATTCTGTGATAACCTGTCAGATACATAAAACCAGCACACATCTAGTGTCCAAAGGAAGAAGGAACGAAAATTTCACTTTATTTGCTGTTATATTATAAATGCACTGAGAATATTATGAACAATATAGTTTAAAGTATAGCAATTTGGAATCAATAAACGTAGGAGTTACAAGAGATGTGTGCATAATGTCTTACAAGAATTCAAAGAAAATAGAAAAAAGTAATATTTCAGATTGTATGTTCATAACCTTCATATATGCAAAAATACAAATAAAATTCGTAACAGTTTTTACCAAAATTTTTTTTGGGACTGAGGTTTCTGTTAAGAAAGAGAATTTCAGGATCTTCCTCAATTTTGTTTTATTTATTTGACAAAGTGTATATTTTGCCTATCACAGAATTTTAGTTCTTTTCTTTCAGGTGAAAGTCAAAAAAGTTAGATTATAAATTTCAACCTGAAGTGATTTGAAATTCTTGAAATGTTAAATTACTGACAGAGTTAACATAAAGGCAAGATTCATTTTATAGGAATGCTTTCAGTGAAAAAATAACATTTTTTATTTTATATTTATATTGCATGCATTACCTATTTCCAATTTTTTGCAAAATCTTTTCCTTTTCTCTCTCAAGTTCTTCATTTTCACTTTTCAAAACATCCAGTGCTTCATTAATATTAAGAATTGTTTGCTTTCTATTCTGTAGATCACTTTTCCTGGTGGATTTCTAGTGAACATTAAAACATTAAAACACCTTTACCATGATTTGAAATTATTTCAGGCCAACACAGAAGATGCAAGTATGTGAGCATTTTTACTTCATTTATAAAAAAAAAAAAACCAACAAGAAACTTACTAATTCTTCCACAGCTTTAAATACTTCAGAAGAAGCAGCTGATATTTTTACGTTCTCATCTCCTTGGGCAGCTATTTTATTATTCAAATCTTCTACCTAGAAAATATTTTATAAATCAAGTAATACAAATATCTCCTATGTTTCTTTGCAAAAATTAAACAATATATTTTAAAAATAAATTTCAAATGAAGGCTATTAAACAGTAGCTAGACATATTTCATGCTATATTATTCATATGCACATTGACATTGCGATGTATCCTAGCATAATCTTTATACGTCACAGTATCAGGAAGCACACACTCCCAGCCTGCTAATTTATACATGACATATGGTATAATTGAGCAGAATATTTTATGTCACTCTCAGCCTCAAGATTTTCCTTAACACCTCAATATACCTATTGACTTAATACAGATTAAAACAGAGATTCAATGATGGATCAAACACCGGAGCTTAAGGAAAAATGAGGATGTTATGGAAGTAAGGATCTGCAGGATAAGGAAAACATCTAAAGTGGCTTTAGATAAATAAAGGTGTATCTGCTCACATTAAGCCTAACGAACTTTGTTTCCTTCACCTCTCCTTCTTCTACAGAGGCTGAAACAACATAGCTACCCTGGCAGAACGTACCTATACAATCTGCATAGAGATACGGGTCTAACTGGGATATGACCAGATAACAAACATCCCCAAGCAGAATCAGCGTCAATAAGGATTTTAACATAAAGGTTGAAAATACATGTGGGAAGATCAGAACAGAATTAGGCCACAGGCACTCTAAATGGTATGGAATTTCCTACTGCTACCTCAGGAATCTGATGAAGAGCAGATTTACATAAGATACTGTGTGACTATGTCCCAGAAGCTAAGGAGGGAAACAATACAGGCTTTGTCTTGTTATCTTGTGTGGAATGGCACAGCTCTGTTGCATTTCTCTAGGATTCTGCTGGTTGTTCTTATATGATTGTTCTTTCTTAACTAGTTGGGAACCGAAGGTCCTAACCACTATTACTTATAAAGATTTATATTAGATTTATTCAGTTAGTTGATTTAGCCATGCTTTTGAAGGAAATTGGCAATAATCACAGAATCACAGAATCTTCTAGGTTGGAAGGGACCTTAAAGATCATCTTGTCCAACCATCAACCTAACTGACAAAAACAGACACGCGCACAACAAGAAGCATCACCATCACTAAACCATACCTCCCAGCACTACATAAACCCGTCTTTTGAACACCTCCAGGGATGGTGCCTCAACCACCTCCCTGGGCAGCCCATTCCAATGTCTGATAACCCTTTCAGTGAAAAAATTTTTCCTAATATCCAGCCTGAACGTCCCCTGGTGTAACTTGAGGCCATTTCCTCTCGTCCTGTCACCTGTGACTTGAGAGAAGAGACCGACCCCCACCTCTCTACAACCTCCCTTCAGGTGGTGTCAGCTTTATGCTAAACTTAGGTCTGGCTCACCTTTAGCATAAACTAGTCAAACCAAAGGTGGTCACCAAATGGAGCAGTTCCATGCTCCACCTTATCCCTGTTGCACGTTTTTCCCTTGTGTTGGTCTTAATACCTAAGTAAAACCTACTGAAGTATATCAGGTCAGGCAAACCCAGCTGGACACATGTCCAGAAAGTGGAGGGGGGAGTCTGGGGGGAGGGAAGTTTACTAATAAGTATTGGTTCTATTTGAAAATAGTGGTTTTCTAGGTATCAGTTGGTAGCATCGCCGGTGCCAACAACAGGAAGAAAACTGTAATACACAGTGCAAGAACATGCCCATTGTCTAATATGACTGTACCTTTAGTTTTTCAGGAGTGTGCTTTTTTCGGGGTTTTTTTTGTTAAGTTCTGGGCATGCTTGGTAGACTCAGTTTCTCAGAAATACTCCATCTAGATTCTGGAATCCCCCGGATCCTTAGCAGAATCTAGCTATCTAGCTGCACTAATCACAACAGTACAGGGCACATACAAGAGAATGAATGTCATACTTTAATTATACATACATACATACATTCATATATATAGACATACTTATACATACAAAAAAAAAAAAACAACAAGTTCTCTTGTGGGCATCTAAATCCTGTTTTAGGCATTTTCTACTGCTTCCACACATAGACCTGTCAATTAATTGAAAACTCCTACTCAGGCAGTGTGAGGAACTCCAGTTCAGATTTTAAACTGCCAAGTACAATACGATTTTGAAATGAATGCTAGACAAATATAGCAGAAACAGGGGAATTTTAAGTAAAATAGGGTATCAGTATGCATAGTATAAGAGTGCATCACATGTTATCTCAGGTTAAAAAAATCTACTAATTCAAGAGAACACTTATGCTGTCCAACTAAATGCACACTTATTTCCATGTGATTTAAGAAGATAAACAATATTAAGCACATATGCATCCAACAACAAAAAATACCCAGATCACTTAAAGGAGTGTAAGATGATTCTGATATTTTTAATAAATAAAGATGAAAAATAACACTAGAACAGAAAAATGAACATGAGAGTTCTATAGAATCTACCACCCTATTTTTAAATCAGTATTTGTATTTTTACTCTTACAGAGGACCTTAACTTTTAAACATACAAAATATTCAAGCATTCATGTACTTTTCAATAAAAGATACTCATTTACTTGCTTGTTTATAAATATTCAAGACTCACTTTGCTGTTCCAACATTTTGCATCTTCCTGGATTTCTGCTTTTTGCTTCACTAACTCCTCAAGGTGTTTTTCATCCTTTATAATCTTCTCCTCTGTTTCTTTTAACTTCATACAGTATTCGGTCCAAATAAATTCAGAATGCTTTAACTCATTCCTAATAGAAATACACACAAAGTGAATCCATCTATTTGGAAATATTCCAAGGTAGTCCCTCTCCATAAAGGAAAATGTAAAGCAGATCTGAATTAGTAAAGATTTATTTTGATTCTCTACTACGTTTCTTGAACAGGTATGCATGAGAGAATTTCAAAATATCTACCCTGGCAGGTTCATGCAATTTCAGCCAGATATCAAAACCACTCATGCTACCAGTTCACTTGCACTTAAACAGCCTGCCAACATCAAAACTCCTAATTGGACCTCTGAACAGGTATTGGTGTAGTTAAGCACAAGACTTTGTTTCATACCGCGCACGTTAATTAATCAAAATAGGAATGAACTTCTTTCTCTGCTACCGGCTGAATCTAGTTCAGAGCCATCTTCACTTAATCAATCCACTGCACTGTCATCTTGTGGACAAATGTCATTTTTACTGACATCAATTCCTCATGTAAAAAGGAACTTAAAGAGAGTAGACAAGGTCAAAGGAGGGGATAAGTACTTTACGTTCACTCTGAATACTTTCACTCTGAAGAGCAGATTTATCAGCATTATGAAAAGGAAAACTGGCCATAGTTACAGAAAGAGATAATAATAACTACAACAGTCGTCAGGAAAACACTCCCATGAGGCACTGTCAGGCCTCATTATAGACCGTGCACAGGCCTTTTGTTACAGCCATGTATAAGAACAGATTTGGTGAAAGG